TAACAACTATCTAAAAATAACTATCCAATAAAATATAAATATGAAATTAACCAATAGAATATATAATAAAATATCATTCAATTAAATTTATGATATGAATTAACCAATAAAATAAAAACTAAATATTCATATTATAACAATATAGAAAAAATAATAAAAAGAATATTATTGCACTTTTGATAATAAATACATGTTAAAAATAATAAAAGGTAAAATAATAACAATATAGACTACTGATCTTGCTAAAAGCATTCTTGAAAGTTTTCCATTCTTCATTATTGAATGCAACATGTATGACATCATTTTGATTACATTCGGAAAGGTATATCATATTGTACCTTGCAATCCCTTTACTAATTTTTGCGAGTTTTCTTGCTACCATACTATCTGTAACCTGAAAAGAATTTATCAATAATAAATTCTATGCAGGATTATGAAAAAAGATAGCAAACCTTTGTAAGCGATAGCATTTCATCATCTGATATTATATCTTCACTGTCTGTGTCACTATTCTGATTGTCATGTGAGATAGTTCTTCTGCGTTTCTTATGCAAGATATTTGTTGCAAATATTCCAAACTATCATGTCCCTGATTTCCCATCTGACTTCTTATCCCATTAGGTCGACTAATTGAATTGAACATCAGGCAAGCTAGTTGGTTGCCTGTGCCCCAATGGGACCAACGCTGGGTCGATTAATTGACTTGAACATCAGGCAAGCTAATTGGTTATCTGTGCCCCAACGCTGGTTTTGTGGCTCGGCTAATTGACTTGAATGACAAAGAAGCTAGTTGATTCCTTGCCACGCCACTTACTCACATCTATATTTCCAACAAAAAACATTTTTACTTGCCTTTCTGTATTTATCAAGGAGAAACTGTGCTTTTTCCTTCCTATCTCCTTCGTCGTAGTTAATAATATTTTCAAGGCTTCTTAGGTATAAATCTATTTTCAGCTGGAATTGTTCTTCGTCGCTTTCATTCAAAAACCCTAAAAGGCTCCATTCTCCAGATTTCCGCTTGAAATAATTGTATTTTGGTACTAGATATTATATTGAGAAAAATTTTTACGAGTTTGGGACATGAGTTAAAATTTACGCGTGTTTTTGTTTTGAAATTTTTGCATTACACGTTGATCTTGCGATTCGATTGGTTAAGTTCTTGAAAAAAATCAATGCGTAAATTTTTGATCGGCAGATGATATAAACCAATAAAAATGCGCAAGTTTTTGATCAGCCCCGGCAAACAAGACATGAAAAACAAAAAATGTAAAAAATACGGGAAACAGACATCGAAATCTAGCTTAATACACTAACAAAAAATGTCGGGAAGGCAATTTTGCATATAAGCATTATACCAACTCTAACTCTAACCCTATTTCTACCTTTAAATTAATCTTCAACAATAATCTTTATTTGATATTTCATATCAATATACATGTATACAATATTGTATGTAAAAAATCTCCCACAATGATGTTTTCTTTAAATATGTAAATGATCAGTATTTGCGCAAGTATAACATATAGACGAACAATACGATTCCGTTGAACCTCGTAAGGTGATACGAAGTATCGATGATTTTGCATTTTCAATCCGGAAGGGGATGTGAGAAAAAATGCCATGGTTGCGCAGTAATTATTTTTCATCTTATATCTGCACCCAACAATATAGAATGAAAATGAATAATTGTTAATAAAACATCCGTAAATTAAAAAAAAAAAGTCACAGCGATAACCAGTTTCCTCTCTACCCAATTCATGGAAATTATGTCAGATCTTGTGAAGCAAGGATTCAAAAAACTCGAAATTATTCAATCGGATCAAGATAATGCCACGCACGGATGAGCAAAGCCCAGAGTCCTCCTTCAATCAGATTTCAGGAGATAAATAGAATACTATATACTTTGAGAATGCACGAGATCTATCATTCAATATACTCTGACAATTTACTCTGGCTTCGAATGTATATGAGAAGGCGGGGCTCATGAAATCCTATAATTTTTTATGCGATCCTATTTCCTCATAATTGAGAAGCAAAATGTAATAATATCAAGCTTTGAAAAGGTCATAGTTCCATTCTACAGTAACTCGAATCGAATCTCTGTGCTGTGTAATTGACCATGCGAAGCATGTTTTACTATGTGAAATTCTCCGAGAATATATAACCTCGAGTTTCCAACCCATCCTGCTCCGTAGATGCAGTCGCGAAATGACATAAATTCACTGGATTCCATTCTTATCGAAAAAAAATCCTTGTCCCGCCCGTGCTTATTAACATACAAAATCGGTATAAACTTTGCGAAGAATCGACAGATCAACGCATCGCCGTGCCACAGAAGGAGTAGATGAGATTTTATTAAAATTGCAAACTTCGTATTATTTGCGTAAAGTGGATAAAAGATCTTCTCTTATATATTTTTGGATGTGGAATTTTTACCTATTGTATCAAAAAAAAAATAAACGTGTGAGACTGACTGCAGAGCAATAACTATATACTCATTTTTTGTGGATATGTGACCATTTCAAGTATATTCATGTGTGCGTTCCATTTAATGCATGGAACAAACAGAGTTTGGAGTCAAAGACTCATGCACGGACACAGTTCGATAAAGCTCTTTTCTAGATATTTACCTATGAAATGGGTGGTGGGAAATTACTTAGAGACGCAAGCGATTATTTCTTGCTTTTCAGGTGATGGAATCGGCTGGCCTTCTATGAGTGGAATTCGAGAATTTTGCCGATCTCTCGAAGCAAAGATGAATTATGAGTCAAAGACTCTGGGCTCTGTCCATTCCATTCTTCGAACTTATGGGAGTTTTCACATGTGCTCTAAAGTATATAAACCACCTAGCAAGACAGAGTAAGAAATGTTTCGGCTTACCTGTTTTAAAATCGTATCTAATAATGCTGTGCACGGGTCTTTGATCCGATATTTTTAGTATTAACTCGTCACTATGGATACCACTCACCTTAAAGCGCTCGCATTGAATTTTCTAAGAAAATGATCTCAATCGTGGAATATTTCAGAACCTAGCGTATATAACATTCCCGTCAACTCTCAAATTCCAAAGCTAAATCCATGTTCCTTATGCGAACAAGATATTTTTACGACCCCATTCCAAGCATTCATTCACAGTACTTGTATGTGGACATATACATCATCGCACTTGTATCGAAAAGCATATCATATGCACTGCAGGATAAGTTGGAAGGTCTGTTGCGAGAATTATCCACACCTGTCAAAGGTGAGCCTGCCGAACTAATTATAATGATGGATCCGAAGATTCTATATCAAAAAGTTTAGCTCGTCTCTACCAAAAAGCAACCAAAGCGGAAAAACGCGTGACTTTTGCCTATCAAGAGGAGATCCGGTGTTGGTTTCGTTTCTCTGAAAAGTTCGAACAAAATTTCAAAAGACATTATGGATGGATTAACGATCAACAAGCTAGGACCTGTGTGTATGATGAAGTCGCAAAACATCTTCCTGGTTTCACAAGAGAAAGCTTGCGTAAGAAAACTGCGGAGACGCGAAATATTTATATGTTATTCGGATTGTGTCGTGATCCTACTACTCTGGAGATAGTCAGGGGAATCGGAATGGAAAAAATCAAGCGGGTTAAGACAAATAGCGCAGACTACATATCGAAACTCACTAATACACAAATTCGAAATATTATTGACACTTTCGCTAACTAATCATTGTAATCTTGCTGATCGCGTCAACTTGGGGGCGAACGTGACTACTATGCTATATATTATATGCGCTAAATATCACTAACATGCACGGTCTGTAATTATAATCAGGCCCCTTTTTTCTCATATATTCGAAAAGAGAGAAATATATAACTAGAGTTTATTATTATATTAATTATCTCCTGAAATATGTGATTGAAGAAGGAGGCGAGGTTCATCTCATGATTTTTTGAGTGTTTATACGAGCATTCTAAATATAGAGACACGCTGTTTTTTTCGCAGTGTAGAGTCTCACGTAGTGAAACATGCTTCGCATGATCAGAAATCAAAATATATTCACTCTTAATGCCTTGTATCTAGAAAAAGTAAAGTTCGCCCACATCGGGCATTTTCTTTTAATCGTGTGTATGCGGTGTGCAACACGAACGCTATGTTACCTACCTTTAGAAATTATTATAAAACACATTTCTTCCAAGTAAATCATATAAAAATGATAACAATACCAAAATCATCTTTATTGCCAATGTCAAGTTCAAAAATTCATAAATTACCTTTTTCTATTCAAAAAAAAAAAACCATACACCATCTTAAAAAGGCTACAAGAATTATGGCTGTGAAATGCAATTGAAAGTTTTTTACTGCCCTATTATTATACTTTTTATGAATAACTTTATAGTAATATTAATATTCTTATGTTTGAAAGTATATCAATCTCACAATTTGGTGGAAATATCCCAACCTCAATTAAAAACTGATACAATTATAGAAAAAATTGACTATCAATGAACAAGTTATCTGAGATCGATATTAAGATTTATTGCAAATTTAAGAGAGGCTTTAGAGCCTATTCTCGAGTCAAGTGGTTTTAATTTTTATTTTCTTTTCTTTTTATGGTTCATTTTTGAACGATAATGAAATGCAACTATAAATTGTTATCTTGACTGGCCAATCAAATCGTAAGATTCAAAGCAAACAAGACGTGACTAAATAAGGTTACGTGATAAATTATGTGGTGCCGATCAAATGTGTGGGCCTTTGGCTAAACCGGCTAAACGGCTTGCCTTGCTTTAAACTTTTTTATATCAATTGTCACATGAAAAAGTAAATCCCACGATCTATCGATCTTCACATGCGTGGCAGATCATGGTTGGTCGACAAAACACATTTTTTGGTTCCCCGCACATATTGAAACTTGTCAATTACATCGTCTCTAAAACCAAAACTTTCACCGCGTTTTTTAAGAATTCTTTAAGAAATTGGTATTCTTTTGTTATTTTCTTTAAAGCAAAACCTGCATTTGCAAAAAATAATAAAAGACATGTTCATCATCAACTGGTTTTATGACGTTCTCGCGTCTTTGGGCATGTGTTTTATCTCGCTGTTCTTAGTTTATCCTTGAATTTTTGCTTGCAGCAACTAATAAATAAAATCATTTACTTTTCGCATTCACAGGTCTTGTTAACAAGAATGCTAAAATTTTATTCTTGGGACTTGATAATGCGGGCAAGACAACCTTGTTGCACATGCTAAAGAACGATCGTTTGGCCACTCTACAACCAACATTACATCCTAGTACGTGTGTTTTCACTGTCTAATTTGGGAAGAGTAATATTAGGATAGACAGAATTTAGATATTAGAAAGAATAAACTAGATAATTGATGATTTATTCTAGCAAAAATGTTACTAATTTCTTAATCGGATTTAAAAATGATAGCTTCTGAAGAACTTTCCATAGGTAATGTTCGCTTCACAACTTATGATCTCGGTGGACATTTACAAGGTAAGCTTTAATCTAATATTTATTTATAAATAGAAGCATATAAACCAACTTCTATTAGAAGCGATGATGAATACATTAAATAATACTTTTTATTATTAAGCTCGACGTCTTTGGAAAGATTATTTTCCGGAAGTTTCCGGGATTGTCTTTATGGTTGATTCTCAAGACCGTGAAAGAATTGCAGAAAGCAAAACTGAATTAGATGTAGATATGAATCTTTATCATAAGGGCCATTTTTGTGGCTTTGTTGAAATAAAAATAATGAATAGGGATACTAATACACAACTAATCATCAAAAAATACACAGGCTCTCCTATCAATTGAAGAACTGTCAACGGTTCCTTTCTTGATTTTGGGAAATAAAATTGATGCACCAGGAGCAATTTCTGAAGAAGAATTGCGTTATTCTTTGGGATTGTATCAGACAACTGGCAAGGTAAATAAATAATTAGTTATTCAATAATTGTAATTTTTTGTTTATTAATTTGTTTGAATTATAGGGTAAAGTTCCATTGAAGGATATTCGACCAATAGAAGTCTTTATGTGTTCAGTTGTAATGAGACAAGGATACGGTGAAGGTATTTTATTAGTGCTATCTACAGTGTTGTGTCTGAATTCAAGATGAAAAACATGTGCACACTACTTTTCTTTGATTGGCTGAACCAAAATTAATATATAGAATTCACATGTACAAGATCAAGAAAGTGTGCACATGCGCACATAGTGCACATCAATTTCAGACACTATTGATTTTTAATACAAAATCATTAATCAATGTGCATTTTGTAGGTTTCCGTTGGATATCTCAATATATTTAATATTAATCCTCCCTCCTAACTTAACTCTTCATACATCACGCAGAGCTAACAACAAATAATAATTTCAAGGATCGAATAATAAATATTTATTTTTCGCTTATTTTACTATAATCTTTTTCCCTTCATCAACAAATTACACGATTTCTCACCTCTCTCTTTGCAAGCATTTTCTGATCAAAGGACTTTTAATGCTAATAATAATTAGCACACCATCGCTACCAGTTTTCTTTTTTATCGTTCAAACATGTATTAATGCCAAAATTTTATTTACTTAATATATAACATTAATTCGTGGTCCGGATGCGGATCAATTTTCTGTTAATTTTAGGGATGAATCTCAATTCATATTAAAACTGATGTTGATCCTTACACTAAAGTATTATTAAAAATAGATTTTCATTTCTGAGGATCACGAATTAACGTTAATAAGTCAAATGATGATCATTGTTATCATTGTTCTTATAAACTTGTGCTAATTCAAGACATTCAATCAATAAAATGTCGAATATCGGATCAATTTGTAGTTTAGTTGACGATTTGACATTCATCAAAGGAGAGCCGATAATATTGGGTGGACCAGTGCCAAATGATGGGTCGTTGAATACAATTATTGTGGAGTTTTGGGCTTCTTGGTGTCAACCATGTTTGTAGTCAAATTCTCTTTAGTCATTTCTTCTAGTATTTGTGAAAGGCAATGTGGCTTTTGTTTGAGAACGAGAAATGGGAAGGTTAAAGTGTGATTGTTCGTGAGTTTATATGCGTGGATAGATAATAGTGGAGAAAGTGAAAGAAAGACTGGTATTTGAGAAAATATCCATAGTATAACTATCTAACTGAATATATGCGATTTTTATATAACAAATAAAGGCCGCGACACGTAAGTCCACACTGTTTTTCGACAAATTCCAGTAAATTCGTGAATAATGAACAAAAATTAAAATAGAATCCCTCATCTATCGAAGATACAACAAAAGTATCGTGATCAAGGAATAAAAGTACTAGGAATAACTAACGAAAAGAAAGCTAATGTATATTTTATTATATTTCATTGCTCTTGTTTCTTCTATTAGCTTGATCTGACACACACACACACACACACACACACACACACATATAATAGGAAGTAATTGAATTCGTCAATAACATGGGGGATAACATGAACTATTCAGTGGCATTTGACAAGAATCGTACTGCCAAAAAAGGTGAAGCAAAATGTAATAAGTAAATTTTCTCAATTCGCCTATTTAATCCTTTATTCCGTTCACAGCACTATTTGTACCAAGTGGTTCCCCGGGAATCCCTACCGCGTTTATCCTGGTCAACAATAAAGTGATCTGGAGTGGGCAACCGGGACTCGATGAGGAGTTTGATAGATTGGTGGAACAAGCTGCGAACGGTTCTTTAATGATTTGATTGTATTCATTTTTAACAAACTATTTCAGAATTACATTTTTCGCATAAACCATATTTTTCGTATAAATTTGTCATAAATTATCAAAAACTCTAGGTATAGCATTTGCTACTTACCAATGCTATTCGAGCGTGCTATTTATCGTTATCAACCGCTGCATGTAATCTCAATTTGTGCATAAAAATTACGTTATACCCGATACGTAGTTTATCGACTCTAATTATATTCACAATATATAGAAAAGACTTCAACGTGTCTTGACCACTCTCCTTTACTCATAAAAGAAATGCGGCGCACAACTGGCACTAGTAAAAGGGCAAATACCTCAGGGGCATCTGCTGCTTCTGGTACACGCGGCATAGATAATAGCAAGAGCAACAATGATACTAATGGGGTTTCTAGCACAGTAAAGAGCACCTCTACTCTTACTCGTAGCAACACCACGAGCTCCTTACTCACTCCACGTTCCAAAATCTCAAGGTCGCCTTCACCGCGTTTAGGCGTCATTTCCGATTCTATTCCCGCCACAAATGCTAGAACCTCGAATACACTTAAACCATCTATCACAAGCTCGCGAACTACTAATGGTGTTTCTAGCACAGTAAAGAACACCTCTACTCTTACTCGTAGCAACACTACGAGTTCCTCACTCACTCCAAATCGAACTTCAAATACAAATAACCCATCGACAACAGCACGATCCAAGGTCTCAAGGTCGCCTTCACCGCGTTTAGGCGTTATTTCTGATTCTACTCCCACCACAAATGCTAGAACCTCAAATACACTTGAACCACCTATTACAAGCTCGCGAAATTCTAGATCTCCTTCACCGTCATCTTCTATTGTTGGAAAGACCAATACAACTAACAAATCCGCATCGAAAACAGCCAAACCTATCAAAAATAAGAGGACTTCCCGATCTCCTTCACCATCACCTGATACCGGAGAACCAACTGCACGTGGAACTACTTCATTAAAAAAAGCCATTGAACTAGCCAGAGAACAGGCGAGAACTCGAAAGGCAAACAAGATAACCTCACATGAAGAAAAGAAGGAAGATGAAGAAGGCTCCACGAAAAGTTTAAAAGCTATTGTAAAACATGCCAAAACTTCAGGTGTGAATTGGAATTTTTTCAAATTCAAATGTAATAACGTTCTTAGTAATGCTAACGGACCAAAAATAAACAGGTCGATTAAATCTGTCTAATCGCTCTTTAAGTGAAATCCCCGAAGATGTTTGGAAAATGTATGAGACAGATACGGCAAACATCGATTTGGATTTTGGTGCTGCTAGATCGGATATATGGTATGAGGCTGTCGATTTAACGCGAATGGTGATTGCCGATAATCATTTGCAATCAATCGATAAAAGAATAGCTGAATTTCGTTCACTGGTTTTTATAGATGTAAGCATTAATTTCCATATTGTAAATCATATTTTCCCTTGAATCTACAGTTAGAGCAACAATTTCTTTTACTTTTCTAGCTTCACAATAATAAATTGTCAACTCTTCCAGATGAGTTTGGCGAATTATCAAATCTAGTCACATTAAATCTATCTGCCAATGAATTCACCGAACTTCCAAACTGTTTGACTTCTCTTTTATCACTGATTGAGCTTCAAATTTCGTCCAACAAACTATCGGGAACTTTAGATTCATCATTTGGAAATTTGTCAAAGCTTGAGCTCCTTGATATATCTTTTAATGAGATCACGGGATTACCCGAGGAAATTCAAAATTGTAAGAAGCTTCGGAAATTAATATTGAAGAAGAATAAACTAAAAGAGATCCCGGGACTTGCGTTAAGTGGAATGAGTAGACTAGAAGAGTTGGAGGTTAATGAAAATCAATTGGAAAAAATATTTGGTGGACTTGATGGTACGCCGGTGAATCTACCTTATCTCAAGCGATTAGATCTTCGCCAAAATAGATTAGAGGCTTTAGACGAGGAACAAGAGGCGACATTATTCAAACCATCCATATCATTGCCGGCACTCAAAGAATTATTAATTTCTTTCAATAGAATAGAATCATTAGGGCCTTTACTTCATACCACGACTAAGCTGGAAATCCTTGATATTGCAGATAATAAGTTCAAAGAGATCCCAGAAGGACTAACCGCGTTGAAGATGCTTAAGCGATTGGATTTGGGAAATAATGGACTTCGAGTGTTGCCTGCTGAATTAGGATTATTGACTTCTTTGGATCTACTTGTCTGGGAAGGAAATCCTTTGAGAAATGCCCCAAAGGGATCTAAATCGACGACAGCACTTCTTAAAACACTAAGAGATCGACTGTCCTTAGTTGGTAAAAATTTATTATTTGATATATTTGATATAATATATTTTATTTGGTTACACTGGAATATATATACTGATAATATCTTTTGACAGATCTTGATAATATGAATAGACCAACAATACCTGAACACATTCCTTCTCCTAATAATCGAGGACGAATTGGTAGTAGGCGAGCAGATTCTTATGATGGTGCATTCTCTGGACCTTTAGGCACTATCACTCTTCAAGCAGTTGCATCAAAGACATTAGACCTGTCAAAAAAAGCACTTTCTTCAATCACTGATACGGAATTGAGCTCATTAGCATTTGAACCGACAAGTGTTTATTTAGGCTTTAATGCATTCACGAATATTCCTGCCTCTTTTTCAATATTCCAAAATATCATCACTACTCTTCAAGTAGATCACAATAAATTGACCACTTTTCCAAGTTTCGAAGATAAATCAGTAATTTTCGTGAATCTTGTGACACTAGGTAAGAAGAAAAACATTGCGTGCATGACTCTTGATTTATTTTTTAATGATATTTTATTGTTTCATTTATCATTTCGAAAGACCTATCTGCAAATCAAATAACATCATTGCCGGATGAATCAGAACATACAGCATTTCCAAATCTGCAAATTTTAAATCTTAATCAAAATCGGATGTCCGCGTTACCATCCAAACTACCATTTCCAAAACTTAAGACATTTCTTGCATCAATGAATGCGCTTACCGCAATTACACCCTCAACATTTGAGGATATGGAAGTGGTCGACGTATCAAATAATAATATTGGTCATTTACCACCGCAGTTGGGTAATATCAAAACGATAAAAACTCTATTGGTCGAGGGAAATTCTTTTCGAGTCCCAGGATATGCGGTAGTTCGTCAGGGAACTAGTGGATTGATGGAATGGTTGCGTGGTAGAATCGTGGTTCGATGAGAAAAAATTTAGATACAGTATTTATATAGATTTTATAATATACTTAATAATTAATTATTTATTACTTAGAAATATTCAAATTATTATAGCTTAATTTAATTAAATATTAATATATCTATTTATTACTCACTAATTGGAACCGTGGTGACGTTACGATTTCAAGTAGAAAAATTAATCTGTTAGTATGCCCAACGCTGTAAGACGTTACTGCGCTTATAACATAGATGTCAGATCCGTGACTTGTGGCACTATAAAAAATAAATTTTTTGTTTCGTGTTTACAAAACATTTCTTGCAAACATGTTTACGATTAAAACCCGCTCACCCGGATTTTTATCGCGACAATATAATCGACGATTGGACATGTCTTAATGTAGTAGATTTTATCGTACGAAAGAAGTGCTGGATCTTATGCATAAAGATCTTCGAGAGGTGGCAAATTCTGATCTTGGATTTGACGTGACAAGAAAAAAAAGCTCGAGAAATACTTGATAACTGGAAAGTATGTTTGTTGGTAGAGTAGAATGAGTGGGTTAAGAGTTCTTTGTCTGAACAGTGATGAACTGCAGGTTCGACACTTAGTGCAAGCTGGGACTCTAGGTCTTACAAGGACGGGCCCTTAGCCAATGCCTCTTTTACTCTAAATTGTTATTGTCAAATGTTTCTAATTATTCTTGTTTTGTCAAGATCTGGACTGCATCAGTAAAGAACTTTAAAAAAGATTGTGCACGAGTCAAAGTCGATCGTCTGCAGGTAAAGCAGATAAACCAACTTTCAACCGGAGATGGTGCAATATACAATGACAATCGTCATACAATTTCGGGGAAACATCGTTGAGATGTGGATGACGAAAAAAAGATGAATACCGAAGGAGCTACAAATCTGACCTTTCCAAATTCGGAAGGTGACTTTTTGCTGAATGAAATGTTGAAAACTATTGTAGCAATTGGTGCGACAAAAAAAAACAAGTAAAAGAAGCGAAAGAGAAGGGACTGCCATTGTTACGAGTAGAATATTTTATAGTATATTTATTTTATGGATACAATTCCGGCAAAAAAGGTGACTCTATTAACGTATTCCTTTACGATGGATAACTGAACGTCAACAATCATTTATGATAAAAATAACCAATTGACATTTTTGCCTTTTTTTTCGATTTATAAAGAGCAATTCCTGATGGTGATCTAATTGACCTCCGGCTGAATTCGCCCTTTTTTAAAAAACTTCCAAAACAAATAACGACATCATATCTACTGGAAATGGATACCATAACAGAATCCTTGGTCCCGCAAATGTTCATGAATTTCTTGTAAACTTTTTTTCACAAAATTTAACAACCAAGGAGTGGAATTACCAACCAAATCGATGATTTAAGAGCACCAGAAAAAGATGATTTTACAATGAATGCACCACCACCACCACTTGAACAATCACCACCAGTGTCTTTGCTTAAACGATCACCACTGCTCAAACGACCACTAGAATTGCTACATGAATTTCCATTACCAGTACCACGTAAATCGGTAATTTTAATTCTTAATTATATAGGTAAAAAGACTTTTTCTATTATAGAATAAAATAATTCAACTATGTCTCATGTATACATATATCGTTGGAAAAGACAAAAATCTTACAGATGATGACGCGAAATATCAAGAAATCGAAATCAACGAAAATCATAAAATTTATGATATTCTAAGAATAATGGAGCGTACGTATGTAATTCCTTATGTATGTAGGCATTATCATCATATCGATTTATTTTTTCCGATTCTGTTCTAAAACTTTCTTTTCTTTTGTATAGTATTAAGGCATTTTCGCTTGAAGAACAAACCCCACTTTTAAATATTACCACAATAGAACATGCACATCTTAATGCTTTTGTTCATCCATGTCTCGACGCTTTTTTGTGGTACATTGCAGATATACATTACGACTATGGCGAGATCCCATCAAAAAATAACATTAATGATGATCGTGTTGATGGAGCTGGGTATATGACAGATGCTGATAAGTGTCAGCTTATTTATATGGAAGGCTCGAGACCAGTAACAAAAGATAAAAAGAAATCGATATAACAAAGAACTTAAAGAATATATTCGCGAAAGTTGCAAAGGAAACAATCAAAAGCAGGCAACGTTTATCAAGAAGCTGCATGTATTTGGTGGTCCAATTTAACGCGTGACAAAGATCGGAGCTTATCAAAACTTCAGTGTTTATCTTTCAGAGCTTATCTTTTGCGTCAACTTCAGAGTTTTCGTCTTCGGATATATTTATATTTTCTTGATTATTGTGATATGTATTTCCTATTGCAAAATTTACACTAAGAATTTGTTACTAAATATTAATTCAGGAACGTATAGACTAAATGAGGTTGATAATGCTAATCTTTCTCGGAAATTTTCTGAATGAAATATTTCTTTTACTTCTATGAATGTGTATTGAAATGGGCGGTATGTATTAATGCGGATTTATGTTATGATATTAAACTTCCACTAATCATGTATTATTTATAAATTTAGCTATTGGTTCGTGATGTTACAGTCCTTTGATAATGCAAGAGCTGAACAAAGACCTTCACGACTTTTATATGCGAATGCTCTTCAACTGGATGATTGATCTTTATTGATGTAAAAAGGGTTGCAATAAGTGGGTATCTTGGACTGATGCGAAAATATGGATCTTACATAAATTAATATCGAAACGATAAAGTAGTTTGGAAATTCTATTTCTAGTTTTCAATTATAAAAGGTTAAGATCAAAATATGAGAGCTTAAAATTATATACGCACTACTGATTTTAATTATTTTATTGTCTCAATATAAAAATTTTAGATTGGTTGCATTGTCTACATTTAGTGTTGGTTGAAATTTAGTGTTGAAATTCTTTGGTTAAATCTCGATATAACGATGCTTTTACTAATTATCCTTAAGAGTAGTCTTATCCTAGATCTCTATAAATTAAAATTATATAATAACGAATTGCCTAGATCCCCAAGATTATTCGAAGAAAAAGCATTGTCGGTCAAAAAAACATGATTTAATACTAACATCTTATCCAATATATAATTATCGCAATTGCATTCATTTTTTTACGTAGAGCTAGATGACAACGGTAAATTCTAGAAGCCGCCCGACCTAGAAGGGAATCGAACCCTCGCCATAATCAGCCAAAAAGACTGAGAAGATGCCACCCAGTGGCTAGGCCGTAAAGGGTAACCAGTTACCGAATAAAGTCATTAAATACGACCAACGGAATCATAGAGGTTAACTAGTAAACCACACTCAATGGGCTTATTGTCAATGCCAAAAAGCGACCAAAAAGCGACCCGACTAACATATGATACTCCCGTCGGAACTCGAAGACGATACCCGATAAAAAGCTACTTAACCTATGAAAAACGAATCCCTTTAGAAATCTCACCCGGTATTGAATTTGAATACCCATGAATGATTAAACAAATGCCCAACCAGATGTCAAGTTTCAAAGGAACACGGATTTCTAAGGAGCCCTTGAAAATCGCCTACCGAATCCAATTGAGAACTAGTCAGGAACCCAATTGAATGACTGCTTCACGACACAGACAACGGGACATTATCCGATAGGATTCAGTTTAACGTCATAACCAGGACAAAGGGTAACCAGTTACCGAATAAAGTCATTAAATACGACCAACGGAATCATAGAGGTTAACTAGTAAACCACACTCAATGGGCTTATTGTCAATGCCAAAAAGCGACCAAAAAGCGACCCGACTAACATATGATACTCCCGTCGGAACTCGAAGACGATACCCGATAAAAAGCCACTTAACCTATGGAAAACGAATCCCTTTAGAAATCTCACCCGGTGATTGCATTTAAATACCCATAAACGAATAAACAAATGCCCATCCAGATGTCAAGTTTCAAAGGAACACGGATTTCTAAGGAGCCCTTGAAAATCGCCTACCAAATCCAATTGAGAACTAGTCAGGAACCCAATTGAATGACTGCTTCACGACACAGACAACGGGACACTATCCGATAGGATTTAGTTTAGCGTCATAACCAGGACAGATTGTTTAGATTTCCGCAAGACCGAGAGGGATACCACCCAGTGGCTAGACCATAAGGGTAACCAATTACCGAATAAAGTCATTATATTCGACCAACGGAATTATAGAGGTTAACTGGTAGACCACACTCAGTGGGCTTATTGCCAATGCCAAAAAGCGTTAATAAAAATCTACCCGACTAACATATAATATTCCCGTCGGAACTCGAAGACGATACTCGATAAAAAGTTTACTTAACCTATGAGAAACATAATTCCCTTAGAAACCTCACCGGGAGAAATGAAAAATGTTAAATTAGAATTCCGGTAGAATGTTCGTAATACTCGCACAAGGCACGCCTCTGTGTATTTACCGAATGGTGTATGCCAGTTGGATTCTTCAGACCTTGTGCGGTATACAAGGTTTCAGTGTATTTTGTGATAAGAATTATGAATTCGCGTGAACGCGAATATATGCATATCTGTTTTTGTATTTGCTATGTAAACCATAAATCTTCATTTTCATTGGCTAATAATGCATATCAATTTCCAAACATAGACATATATACATGTAATACGTACACTGCCGATATGTCGATTTAATTGGTTCCGGTGAATTAACCTGGTATGCATTTTCCCGGTCTTTGCCGGGATGTCGAACTTCCAGATTGACTATAAATACTTTGAAGACTTTCATATGATTGGCTGATGTAGATCAATTGTCCGGGATTGTTCGGATAACTTATTTATAAAAGGCAAAACAAAGTGACTGTCATGTGATCTGAGAATAGATCCATTAAAATATCCGATTAATATTGAATATCAAATATTAGGATTAGGGTTAGAGCTGAAATCAAATTTATATACAAAATTGTCTTCCTGACATTTTTTGTCTTTTCATTTTCTTGTGACAAGTTTATTTTGCTGGATTGATCAAAAATTTGTTATATTCCTATTGGTTACGCAAAATTTTTATTGGTTAGATCTGATCAATATCACGTAACAATCACTTTGTTTTGTTATATATAAATCGTTTCTTCAAAAAATTTTTCTAGAATAAAGAACAGTTAAAATGTAATTTATCACATGATCTGAGTGATTGATACACATCGGAATTGGTGATATTGTTACCATTTTAATATGACTTTGGGTTCTGTCACGAGAGTACACGTGATAGAGTCAGGTGGGAGAGTTGACGTATTAAATAACT